ATTGACCAATAATAACTTTTTGTTCCTTTTAGTCATTCAAAAAATTGGTCTAAAATCTATTAAAAAGTAAAAAGCAATATACAGCATAAAAAAATTGCTTTTTTTTTTATTTAGTCAGTTGATTTGGTTACCAAGGCCAGGGGCTGGGACTGTAGCAAGGCATGATGGGAATGCAGGGCGGCCTGGTGGAAGGTAGTGGGGCTCAGCATGGAAGGTGGCAGGGAGGTGAAGGGGATGGGCCTGGAGAGAAGGGGTGACGACTGACTGACTGGGGAGCCGAGGGCCAGAGAAACACTGGGCTGGGTGGAAGAGGAGGAGGAGGAGGAGGAAGAGGAAGCGGAGCTCGAGGGCTTGCCGGGGATTGGGAAGTGGTGCTGCGGCCGCCCCTCGGGTTTCGTTGTGAGCGACAGGGGCTGTGCCTGCTCCGAGTGAGTTGCGGCGGGGGCTGCTGGGGACGCCAGGGCCGCCGAGGGGGTGGCAGGAGAGTCCAGCATGCTGCCGTGAGAGGAGGCTGGGCTGTCGCACATTTTCTCCGGCGGCAGGTACTGTACACACTGCTTCTTGTTTCGCGATGAGAAATTGTCTAGAAGGGAGAGGAAGAACAAGGTCACTCCCTGCTGCATGAGGCCTCGGCCCTGACCGTCCTGGCAGGCCTGTGTTTATGTTACCAGTCATTCACTCTCAGGAACCAAAGCACATTCCCATCCTTTTACCTGTGTTAGATGCTAAAGGAAACAAAAATAGTTGAAATTCAAAGACAGATATGTTCTCCGAGAAATAACTGAGACAGAAATGGTGTGTGTGGGGGTAGGACTGTATCCATCTTGTATTTCTGGAGTCAAATCCATAGAAAAGAGAACAGATGAGTGAATGTTCAGGTGAAGGAATGTTGTTAATACATTAAGGAATTAAAGCTCTGAGGACAGTTGTAATCTGGATGACATTTTTTTTTTATGAGTACTCTATTCGAAAGTGGCTTACAACCAGCTCATATCACCATTCATAATCAGTATGGGCAGCAAGGGCTGTATACACGTTCCTGCGATGAACACACCATCAAGCCTCACAGCTTCCTGAACACTGTAAAATCTGCAGTGCCTTAACAGCCTTAACACTGTCTGAAGGAGAGACACTACTACAATTACACAGATGATTACGGACACTTCCTGTCCACCCTGGCCCAAACTGTCCCCAGTGGGGCAGACGCCTTGGTCCACCTGGGCCCAGCCCGTTCCTAGTGATGGTTGGCCAACTGTGTGCCACAGCTTGCTAACAGTTCAAGCTAGAACCACAGATCTCTGGAGTATTTTATTCAGGTCTGAACTACAAGGTTCAATCTATATCCGCAGAAAACACTTTCACTGGTTCAGCCACTCAGAAACCTGGTAAGTACCATTTTAATTTCACATACATATAAGCAATTGCAAAAATACAGAAATATAATTTACAGCCAAAAGATATTTGGCCAGATTTGTTGTATAGTACTCTCACTGACTATTGTTTTCAATCACCATTTACTGCAAAATAAGGCTGGAAAGTGCAGCTATTATATCCAACTGTTATTTGGGCAGTTTTACTACAATAGAGCAGACATACCTGCCACAGCTAGCACTGAACCTCATATGCTGCTTGTGAAAAGAGAGACAGAGTTAGTAAATGTTAGAAAAGAAAGCAAGAAATAGATTTAAAATGTATATCTGCCTGTGGCAGTTGATGGAGCCCTATCAAAAATGGATAGAAGCCCTTTCATTCAACTAAACAGGATATGAAGCAAGGATTAGTTCTGACATCTGCAGATCCTACACATGCAAAGAGGAGATTAATGTTGAGGTTCTTAGGTAAAAAAGTTAAATGAATAAGTGAATTGGGACCTTATTGCAGCTTTCATCTATTTAAACGTTGCACTTAGAGCGCTAAAAAGCTGTCCACTTCTTTGACCTCAAGATAAACTCAGACTTCCTAAAACTATGTTAATGTGAAAACCCAAAGGTCAGTTGCCTTACGGATTGCATTCCATTAGTTTGCAGCTAAAACATTTCTGACAATGTTTGTCAGTTTCTGACAAAAAGGAGGAAATTCTGTATTCTGCTGAGTGACTACGTTTTAGGTTGGCATGATGATGAAGACAAAGCAATATGGTTTCACTTTCCATGAAGACAGATCTCTAGTAAAATGATGTTCTATTAACTGTTTACAATAATTTTAATCTTTTTTCCTAATAAAAGGTTGGCAATCACAGCCTGAGAGGAGAGGCTAGGATGGATATCCCCAGGTTCAATGAGAAGATACCCTGCAGGCCCAGTGTTCTGCTACCACCAGGTGAAGGGAAGAAAGCATGCCTACCTTCTGCTGTTGTCTCTTGCTGTTTGGACTCTCTCTTCCTCTTTTTCCGCTTGCCCTGGTGAGAGAAACCACCCTATCAGACGACAAGCTGAAAAGAAATGTTTGCTACGGCTCAAAAGCCACTGTTTTCTCTCAGATGTTCAGGGGGTCAGAGGTTAGAAGTGTAGGACTGTGTTAGTACAACACAAGGAAATACTTCCATGACTATTTAAAGCAATGTTTATACTGCAACAGCTACAGTAAATTCTAGAGCTCTATACATGACTCAGAAAAACTGAGCTAGGTGTTTTCATTTCTCATTAGTGTATCTGACCGTGTTAACAGGAACATCAGGGGCAAAAACAACAGATGATCATATCTCAAACAGAACAAATAAAGCTTTTACACCAACAACTAAAGAATTCTGAAGCAGAAACGCCTTTCTTTATAAGGAAGCCCACAAAGTCATCGGATTAAGTGTAATGCAGCTGCTACCAAAATCTGACAGCTCTGTTGATAAAGGGTATTTGTGAAAACACATATGTTGAAATACCGGATTGTGTGGCATGGAGTGGTTCATAGAAAAAAAAGGAATAGGTTAAGGTTTATTCCATGCTAAAAGGAAAAAAGAGAGAATGTTCAGGTGTGTGAAGAAGCCTCCACAGTTGAAACATTGCCTCTCTTTTCTTTCCTTTCAGCATGGAATAAAGCTTTACCTGCTCCTTTGCAGCCTATGCATGCTGATGCAGCTCCCCACTCAAATGTCATAGTAAAAAAAGGCTGTACTCACATAATTATCTCGTGCTGACCAACCAGGGTACAACTGTGAGTGGAGTTGTCGCTCTTTCCTTGCCAGTTCGTAGTACTTGGCCTGTTCTTCCCGTGACAGAGAATGCCACTGTAACACAAACACACAACGCTCAGGGTCTCTTTCCCTCTCCCCTGCTACCTATTCCCCAGGAGCCAGGACCTACTCCCTTTGGAGCAGTGCTTGCTTGGAAATGCCTCTGAAAATCACTGATGTGTAAATCAGCTGAGCTGTGGGTGTCCAGGACTTTGCTGGGGGACTTCAGATCTGTTGGGAAGACTAAACAGATCTTGCTATTTTTAAGAAAGGGGAGGTAAAATCAGGTGGACTTAAATCTTTCTTTCTGTGCCACAATGTCTCCTGTGGAACTGGACTTGAACAAGACAAGCCAACAACCACTGGCGATGAAATGTAATTCTCAAAAAGCTTCAATAGCCTGGCACATCTGAAATGACTTGGCAGTTTCACACTCTCGGATGAATAAGCCAGAGAGTGGGATAGTCACCCATTCGAAAACCAGTGTAAATAACCCTCATTTGGCAAATCCAAGGGCTATGAAAAGGTCAGACCTGAACTAGGAAGCTAGTTAAGGAAATTCACAAAAAATAATGGGGCCCTGACTCCTGTATAACCATGAAGAGTTGTGGAATCAGGACAGATATGGGTGAACTCAAAACGGGCAGCTGTCTGTGTGCCAGGGCTTACCCTCCTGCCCAGGATCTGGTTGATGGCCGCGCTCTCCTTGAGGGTACATTCTGCCACCACCTTGGCCCTCATCTCCTTCATGTAGAGCATGAAGGCGTTGAGTGGTTTTTTGATGTGTGGCTTCTTGTCCTCCTCCTTCTTCACTGGCCCTGGGGACTTCCTGAGGGAGGCAGGGAGGAAGCCGGGTCAGACACAAGAGCCAAACCGAGTCCTTTACAGCATGTCGAATTGGACACCGTCAACACCAAGATTCATCATTTTCACCCCCTTTTTACAAAAACTGCAACTTTCTCCAAATGATGGAACCTATCTCAGAGTAACAAAAAAATAAATCAAAACATTTTTTGAGGCAAATAATGCCCACTGTGATGGCAACAAGAGTTTTCACTTATCTAACAACTGTAACAAGACAATATTGTCTGCAGGGGAAAAAAAAAGTCTTACATTTGCTGTCCTTGGAAATAAAATCCATCTTCCAACGACCAGAATTCACTACCCCAAAAAACAAAGCTATTATGAATTTTGGGTAGGAGAAATTTTAAAAGTAGAAATCTAGAATTTGTAAGTTAACATGATGAGGATAAACTTTGATTTGGAAAAAAATCACCTTTTTTAAGGTGCTGTTTCTTTTTCTGTACAAGCGGTATAAGGTTTATTTTTTAAATCAAGATGGCTCAGATCACCACGTTAGCAGATAATTTTGTGTTACAATGTTATAACCATTTTTAACAGCACACATTCATTTTTCCACACTGTTCTTTGAGTAATTGTGTGTGTCTAAGTTCACGCTTGGCGAGAGGGGTCGGCAGCAGTGGCTTGTGGGTAACGGGTACTCACGAGTGCGCAGTGGGGCTGACGGTGCCGTGGTTGGGCTCCTGCTTGATGGCAGGGGAGACGATGGCAGGATGTGGGATGCCAGTCTGGTGCAGGCTGTGGGGGGGGTGGGGCACCATGTGTGGTGAGAAGCGACTGGAGACCAAACTGAGGAAGAGGAGAAGAACAGGGATTAAGAAACAGAAGCCAGTCTACACTTGGCCTTCAACATGAGACACTTTGATCTGCTCTGTAACTGGAACAGTCTTTTACAATTAGTGGCAATAATCTTGTTGGCACAGAATTTTATTGTTTAAGAGAGACACACAACAGCACTTTGGGACAGGGACGATTGCAGCCTACAAAAACAACATTAACCTTGAAAATTCACTATTATGAACAAATGAAGGCAGATTCATTTTTTTCAGTATGAATGCAATGCCTTAATAGAAAACTGCATTCTCTTTGTGTGAGAATGTTCATACTCTTAAGAACATTAATTGTCAACACTATTGTAAATCTAATGTCTCTTTATGGGGAAAAAAACAGAAAGCAAAACCGATCATACCCATCACAGAATACAAATCTGAAACATTACATTCATTTTGATAATGTTAAAAATGATTAAACAATACCTATGGCATGATGTTCTTAAATGCATTTAACGTTTCGTCAGTTACAACATCAGTTGAAGTTTTAACACAAAATTTGTCAAATACGTTTAGGACAGACTTTAAGAGAAAATTTCAAAAGTACTGTACTTCAGGAGGTACTGTATCCGACAACAGAGTACGAGCTCTCCAGAAATAAAGAACTCCAAAGTCTCTCCCAGTAATAATTTTAGTAAGCAAATCACTGCTACACTACCATCAAGATTCCATGGATTCTAAACCCCTGTCTGCATGGACATTACCTGAACAAATCCTGTGCTGGTCTCATCTTAATAGACAATTACACTTACTACACGCATAAAAATATTGTAAAACAGAACATCAATGCAGTAATATATGAGGTTTTTGTACTTCCTGCTGTTAATTCCTTTTGTGCCATTTATAGTTGTCTACCGTCCATGGGTTTGTCATGGTTGCAAGTTCTTTTAATTAAGTAATTAAGGTGGTTTGGGCAGGAGATTAAATCCACTGGGGCTTTAAGATCCACACTGGCACTGCCTGTGATGCAGAATAACAAACCAGTCTGTATCCTTCCATCAGACAAAGTTTGCAGCTGAAAGTTTGTTTAGCTTTAGGTTTAGGATCTGCTTTAGAATCGATTTTAGGATCAAACACTATGCTGTCAGTTCCCGTTCGCACATGTTAATTTAATCCCCATAGCCGTTTTGAAACTTCGAACCCCTGTCTCCAAACACTAAAAAGGTTTCAGACTTTCACGGGGATCAGTCTCATTAAAATTAATTCAGCCACTCCTGAATGCTACCCACGCAGGCGAGGACATGAAAAAGATCGCATTCGCATCAGATTTCAACAGAAAAATGGTGTAATTACCAGTAATTAAGAGACTTTAAATGATTTGTTTTGAAGCAGCAAACAGGCTGACACTGATGCAACTCCACTGGGACTGTGGGATGGCTTTCTGCTGCGTCTGATCCAGTGAGTTTAACTCAGGAAATAGCATAGTGCCTCTACTACCACTCCAGCCTCCAGGCCTTCTTACTTGAAAGCAGTGGAGTTCTCAAAGACGTGTGTACAGTCTGTATGTGAATGCATGTGATTTTTTTTTCTGCAAATCCTGACAAAGTACCTCTAGCAAAGGAGGCCAGAGTCCCTCTCAACAGACTCGAACAGAGCTGGCCTGGTCTAAGACAACAATGCACATCATCTCAATCTTAACCAAAACTCTCATCTCTCACTCTCCTCTGTGCAAAGTGTAATAGGAGGTGAACCAAAAATGATGCACACCATTTTGGAGTACTGTGTGTATAACGTGTAAGGGTACTTCACTTTTAAATTTCGTTGTATCCCTCGATAAATCAAGCGCATGTCGATTTTCATCTAAGATGTGCTTCCTCAACCTGCTGAGCGAGTGTTTCTTGACCTCACATTGGCTGTTCCCTCCCAAAGAACCTCATCTGATTCCACAGCTGTAGAATCCAGCACAGCTCACCCTTGAACCGCAGAGAGGGCCAAGCCTGTTTTATTAGTGCCAACACCAGTTCATAAAGATAATGCTCAAGAATCAGATGCTTGTGGCTGTTCAAAGAGTATTCTGATATAGTGAGATTTGGCTTAACCCGCTTGACTGAAGGCCAGCCCCCAGGCCATAGGATGAAGAGGCTAGGAGTCTTAACTGCTGTATAGAGTGAGGAATTAACCAAGGGACAGCTGCCAAGGGTGAGATGGGTTAGAGGAGAGATGCATGAGACAAAATGTGTAAAGAGGTAATGGCGTATGATATAGCTCTAGAGAAATGACATCAGGAATGATTATGATTTAGAACAGCTGGAGAGAAAGTGGCTTGTTGTCTCATCCTTCCCAAACTCAGTTAAGATCTTCCAATTTCTATGGAACAATCAGCCCTAACATTAAGAATTATGCTGATTTACTAATATATGAGGTTTTGTAGCTCTCGCTGTTAATTTCTTTTGTGCCATTTATTATTCTCTACTGTGCATGGTTTTGTCATGGTTGCAAGTTGTGTTAATGTAATTAAGCAAAGTGTAGTTTGGGTGGTCTTTTAATTGCAAATTGTGGATCGTCCCCCCAAGCTCAATGGGATAACTACTAGGACTGGATTAGAGGAGAGAGAAAAAATCAGTGTAGGTTTTTCCAAGTTTTTATGCTCCTCAATTCCCTAAAATGAAGCCTAAAAAAAAACCAAGTCCCTTTTAAAATATGCCTAATTAAATCTCTACAGCTTGGTGTAAGACGCACACTTTTTCTTTTAACTTGGCCTTTTTAACAGCGTAGAAGGCTCAGTTAGAGCGCACGTCTGTTTAGATGAAGTTCGATTCCACAGATCGATGGTGAAGTCTTTCATCTTCATCAAGAGGCACCTTCTCTCACCACTGAAGCCCAGACACCAAGGAAAGTAGTATTTCAAAGAACTCCAATCCAACTTTGTACCACTTATTCAGAGAGGGAATCTTTAAGGTTACTAAGGAACTTCACCATCACTAAAGAATACTGATAGTCTTTCAGCCTCCCTTTGAGACAATAAAACCCTCTTTGCATTCAAACTGAAACTGCATTTTCTTGTTATTGGAAATGTGCATGGCCACATAGTCTGACAGCAGAAAGTCTGCCTCTCATCCACGACTGTAAAAAAAGTATTTGTCCCATATTTACTTACATTTACTTACGTAGGTTGTTGAAAAAAACTGACCAAAGATTTTGCAACTAATTTCAGTACATATTTCGGATTCTCACATTCATTGCTTCACAATTCTTTATACACTGAAACATGGAAACCTGGGGTTTATTTAGTAACTTACAAAATTTACAAAGCTTGACTTTTGGTAGCAGTTCAGCAGTCATTAGCATCACCATTACAAACATAAATGTAAAATACAAAGAACATTCCTCTGCAGAACATAGGTTGCATTTCCTTCCATTCATCAAGGTAACACCCACTAATAACACCATCCAGTGCAACTAAAAGTCCCATCTTGTCAAACAGTGACAATACAATTATGTGAACTTTCACAAATGTATTTGACTCCACGTTTGGCTGCACATGTGACAATGGACAATGGTGATTTAACAGTTACACGTGTTTGGTGTGAAAACTGTCAAAGATGTCAAAAACAGGATACAGTGAAACAAATAAATGAGTAGTGCAATCACTACTGACCTACCCTGGACCCTCTCTCGTCCAAGAGACCCTTCATCTGTTTTTGTTTTTCTACCCCCGATTAAATGTATCAAACATCTACGAATTTCTGTCTTTATCAAAGAAGTAAGGAATTGGCAAAAACCCCTGATCTATTGGATGTAAATGAATGGCAAGGGTATGCAATTGAGCAGGATAGTCATCGGGATAGACGATTTACAAAGCCAAGCAGATGTGATTGGAACTTGGACAAACGAATGGTGTAGTGCTGACAAGAGCACCAGGCGGTGGTGCAGGACCTAAACGGTACTGAAAGGTCTGGAAAATCATCAAACACTAAGGATCGGAAGGGAATGAGTCGCAACCAAAACCTGGGCGTGAAATAGGCAGGGGCTTGCTGTTGCCGGTTGTGTCCTTAGAAAAAAAATCTAAGGGAGGCCACCGCAGGACCGCCACTCCAGACATTCTCAATTCTACCAGACGAGTTTCCCAACGCTAGTCCAAAGATGACACTTCTAGTTCTATAACCTGTTTCACCTTGTCTCCTGTGTTTGGGTGATCACTGCACCTTCTTCCTTTAGCGTCGCATTCTTCCACCTCATATGAACATAAAAACAGACAGGACCATTTGGCCTGTCTAGCCTGTTTGGAAGTTAATTGCTAACCATTCCAACGATCCATCCAGCCATTTGTTGAAAGAAGCCAGGGTATTGGCTCCAACCACATGGCTGGGTAACTGGCTCCATGCTCTCTTAAGTGTCTTTACATATTTGGTTCAACACACAAGCCGATATGTTTTAACACATATGTAATAAATCTGGTTCTGCCTTTTCTTGGAACGAATTCAATTAGAAGGGCTGGCAAGAAGGAGATGGTCAAGTGACTCACCTTGACATGGATGCGTTCATGGCCAGTGCAGGATAGGGGTGCCTGAACCCCCCTGGGGGTAAGGAGTACATGGGCTGACCCTGTCTGGCAAAGCATAGAACACAAGAGACATAGTGAGACCTTCGTTACAAACAGGGCAGTTTCTCTTATCCACCTCTTCTCAGCTGCAAGACTGTGTATGTTTAGACCATTAACATGGTACGGCTGTGCTTGGAGAAAATTACCGTTTCAAGCGATTCACATGATGCACATTTTTCTCAAACAACATTTTTGTTTCCAAGATAAACGTCCAAGATAACTAAATCGATTCACTTTGCTTGGAACTGATTGTTCGCAGTGTAGAAGCAGGGTAAATCAATGAGTTTCTATGGAGAAAAAAATGTTTCAATTTAGGCCATCAGCTTTTCACTTTTTATAACAAATGCAGAAAGCCAAATCCTTATACATGCCCTCACACAGACGGACACAAAGCCCTGTTTGCAAATTCGGTATTCCTCTGGCCTGATCCCTACCTCTCCTAGGATCCCTCAAGGTGCTGCCTGAAGCAAAAACAGGGCCAACTGTGCCCAGTGACAGGAGCCATCCCTCAGCCTGACCCCAGTCAATCAGGAAAGCACAAGTCAGCTGTTCGTCCTGGCACCCGTTCCTCAGATAAACACTGGCTACTTTACTCTGCTGAGATCCAGCTTCTTGGGACAAAGACCAGCACTTTTATTCTTGTGAAACCTCTGGTTTTGGTTCCGAGTTCAGTTACTTACCTGGTTAGCTTATTGGCTTAACGTGATCTACCGCCACTGTTTGAACATGCCTGTAATACGCTTAAACTGGGGCTCTCCAGCGTCTGACTTCCATAGCTTAACTGGCAAGTCTATGACCCGATTGACGCAAGGCCTTCTTTCAGGAACAAAAGCAATGGATAATTATTTTAAAGCTATTGACTGCAATGGCTTGATGGCACTCTTATTTGAGCTGCCAAATTAAAAAATAACAATCCGTCAAAATTCAACTCACACCGGCCCAGAAAATGGTCGCCTTGTCTCATAATTCTAGCCTGTACACAGAACTACCTTCGAGCTGAAAAATCTTTCAGTGGTTTTTCTTACAAAGGGAGATGATGCCTGATTAACACTGCACAGCTCTCAGCCCAAATGGAAAATGGCTGTCAATGCTGAAAGAGTTCCAAGAATGAAGAGTGTAACTGCAATGCAATCTCTGAGGGCCATCTGAAACTCTCTTATATTACCACAATATTTGTTTTTTCTATTCCTTTATATTCAGGCCAATCCAAAAACAAGAAATTCAACCCTAGTCCCTGGAGAAAAATGGATTTGACAAAATTAGCTTTTCTTCTCTTTATATCTATGGCCAAAGCAGAGGAGTTTTCTGGCATTAACAATTTCTTTTGTGTCTTATGAACCATTTGGAAATGAGGATGACGATTCAGCTCTGCGTGTGTTCAGAGCCAACAGCAAATCACCGCAAATTTATATTGGGTTTACTTTTATAGTTGACTATTGTTAAATGACCTTTTATTCAATGCATTTGAAAGTTTATACCTTCCTATTCCATTCTCATATTTGGACATTCCACACTTTGTTTGATCATGCACAACCTGTTGTTTATAAAAGTACTTATTCCACCAAGAAAGTTTCCAAAATGACCATTCATAATATAAGGACTGTGTGGCATACAGCACTGTTCAATGAATTTTGTTTTGGTCTTGAGAAATGTTTCACTCAGAATTAGAACTCTTACATGCACACAGTGAAAGGCGCCAGTGCAATGACAGAGGAAGAAATGTAAGAAGTCTGATCTAAGTCTTTACCATCAGCTATGCAAAGAATCCAAACAGGACCTACCCCTCTCAATCAACCCCGACCACTTCTGGACAAAACAGAAGATGATATAAGGAGGGTTACAAACAAGAGGAAGACATTCAGCCCAACTAACCCGTGTGGTCTCCAGCTATTTCTTGAATGAAGCTTAAGTATCATTTTCAACCAAATGGCTGCGTTCCATACTCCCACAACCCTTTGGGTACAGGCATGCATCCTTCCTATTCTCACTTTTAAATGCACTTCCATGTAGTTTCCACTTGTGCCCTCTGGTTCTACTATCTGCTACTGAGTGTATTAGTTCATGCATATCTGAATACTAGACTCCAAATGATTTGTACCGATCTATAACAAGTGGGCAGATCCCAGGTGGATGTGCTGTGAAGAACAGTCAGATCAGCTAGTAAGTGGTGAGTCTGAAACTCGGTAAGCAGTTTGGTACTTGATTACTGCCAACAGGAAGAAGACCCCGTGTCCCGATCCGTCACATCCAAGGTCTCTGTGTGAAACTAAACCCCAGGCGGATTGTACGGGTCTGCACAGTGTGTTACACACACCTGGAAAAAAGAACCTCCGTGCCTCCAGTACCCTGGGGACACTGTGAGCCACATGTTCACTGCCTGTACCGATTCCAAGGCAATCTGCAGAAGATCAGATTGTGCAGCAGGAAGTGTGTATAATTTGCTGGGCAGTCTGGCTTTTAAAACAATTCTGGTCAATTACACTAATACTTAAGTATTATACTGAAGAATCTGTTGCTCCAACCAGGGAAGACCACAGAAATTTAGTATGAAGAGAGAGTCTTTTCTCTCTTTATTTTTTGCAAAGTTCTGATCTTGCACTCACAAGCCAAGCATTAACTTCATTTAATTGTACACGCAAACTTGAGAATGTGTGTTTCAGGTCTAACCGAATTATATAGGTGGAGAGCCAATTGTACTTTATAGATCAGTTCTACCTTGCCAGGGGTTGTTCATCACAGAAAGTCAAATGCACAAAAATTAAACGTGCATTTCTGAGCCTTATTTATTAACAGTGCTCCAAGTTCTGAACCGGACACCAGTTATTCACTTCTCAAAATCCCATTGTTATATGTAGTGTGTCATAACACAAGGTGGAGTGCCCCATGAGTCATAAGGCTCTGGGAGGATCAAACCTCTAGACTGCTAGACACAGAAGATGAGAAACCTGAAACGGAGGTGAACTGACTCTAATAGGGATGTCATGCTGATTCGGTTGAATGTTCTCTGCTGCAGACAGAAGGTGATGAGCGTGTGACAGGCTTACATACGGAGAGCAGGGACTTACTGTGGGACCAGCCAGCCCAGCGGGTGGGGGATCTGTCCAACGGCACCAGGTGACAAAGGGTAGTAGGGTGAGAGTTCGGAGGGGTGGGGCGCTCGGGGGATTCCTAGAGAGAGAGAGAGGGCAAATAGAGCATAGTCCTCTAAACCCCAAAAGACTAGGATGAGTCTCGTGAAAGGGAAAGCCACTGTCCACATTGTAAAATTGTCTATCCTGCACATTTTTCGTCTTCATTTGCTTAGCTTAGTGGCCCTTAGGAGTTTTCAAGTGCTAATGCCTACTTTTTTACCATCAGGTAGATTTCAGAAGTTATTCTTTCTACATAGAGTATTAAGGACTAGCTCCCTGTGCACCTTTCCAAGAGATAAGATCACTTTATTGGCCATTTACAATTTCTTGCATAAGGAATTTGTCTTTTCGCATACCCCAGCTTGCTCTCCATGAGACACACAGGCAGGGAGAGAGAAGCTTGGGGTCAGATTGCAGGGTCAGCCATTTATACGGCGCCCCTGGAGCAGCTGGGGTTAAGGGCCTTGCTCAGGGGTCCAATGAAGTAGGATTCCTCTGACGGCTGTAGGATTTGAACCGGCAACCTTCCAGCCACAGACGCAGATCCTTAGCCACAGAGCCACCACTCCGCCCCCTTTTGTTTTTTGAGAGGTGACATTTAAAGAAAACCAGAATAAAGATAAATGTCTCAAATGTTCTTAACCTTTAAATTCCCAATCCCTGCAGCGTCACACTGTAAATGACAGGAATTACACTGTGCGCCTTGAGTGTCAAATGCAGTTCCAGTAATGGTATGGGATTCGTTTCAATTTGAGCTGTTTGTTAAGTTTGTTAAGGACTTTCTTTCCCTGTGTATGAACTGAAACATTCCTCCTCATGCTCCAAACCCTTGAGTCTTCTCCACTGTCAGCTGCAGAAGATCCAGGAAGTAATGAATATGGCAATGGTGGAATTTGAGATGGAAGTGTGGCACTGAGTTGATCAATCAGGGGGAAGACACCCGGAGGTCCCATGCAGTTTTTGACAGACCCACCTGTCTTTGGGTCGAGGATCTCTGGGGAGAGGTGTGAAGGAGGAGTCCCAGGGGAGAAGTGTTCATTGCTGTAGGTGATGAGGGGCGTCAGCGGGTGCACGTGGTGAGGGTGCTGAACCACTGGGACCTTGTTTGACTGCAAGAGGAGAAACAAACAACATGCAGAAAGATTTAAAGCCAGGTTTCAAAAACTAAAGGGTCTTCACCTACTGCAATCGGCTTCCAACCAGTACTGTGTTAACCCACATATGAACGGCTCTGCAACACAAGCCAAGCTTAGAACAGCACCAGCCGACGAGACACAGAGTCCAGCAGATTTTCCAAACTGCTTTGTTAAGGACTTCGGAAGAGAAACGGCCAATAGGTCAAAATGGATCAAAATGAGTTCAGGCCTCACTGATCGTGCTGTGGAAGACTGGAGCAAGGAAAGGTTAAATCCAGACTGAAATAAGAAGAAAAATGTTTTAGCTGCTGACCTTCTCTGGGTGTGAGGGAGAGAGAGGGAGGTGGGAGGAAAACAAAGGACAGAGCAGGTGAGAAAGTGTACAATGAAGGAAGATCTGGGGGAGAGGTGTGTACAGCTGACAACTGCAAACCAATGGAGAAGATCTCAAAAGCAGTCACTGAGTGAAGGGGGAAGGTGATCCACGTTTAAGGATAATATAGGCTTCTGAAGTCCTATAGTACAACATCAACCATTAATATCTCAATGACAAGTCCCGAGCTCAGACCTGCATGATTTTATAATGCTGCTGGATTTTGTTATTGCCGTGGGACACAAACACAAAAATGGGAGCGCCAATTTCTGGGAAATGGGGTAGTAGTGGATTCCTTAGAAGCAGAGCGCTTCCGAGCGCTTAGGAGCAGACGTGCGTGAAAGAAAACATCTCTTAAAATCATGGTTCTTTCCATTAAAACAAATCTGGACTGTTGGCAGCAAACCCGTCAACAGTGTGCTGCAGTGTGCGCAGACACGCCCAAGCCCTTGGACTGTTAAAGAGATTTTCTATAAAGAGAACCAAACAGGAGGTCCTAGTTATGTTTACCTGCTTCTAAATAAAAGGGGGTGGAGGGGCTTTAGCAAATAAGCTGAAACCGCAATTACTTAACAGTTACTTGTGGTAAACAACATGGACTGGTCTGCCACTTGCGTGTGTGAGGCAATTATGATGCAATCTGGAAAGGAACCAAGGAACACCGAAAGAAAACAGCCACTGCCAAGCCTGTTAATGGGCATGAACCACAGAAAGAACTGCATGTTAAACCCAGCAGAGGAAAACAGGGCCGAGAACTGGGGAGTCACAGAAATCTGACCCCCTCCCCCTTTTCTTTAGGCAGCTGTATTTAATCTGTTTACGGGGCCTATTGAAAGCAGGAGATCTTACAATTCCAATCTGCCAAGCTCAAATCCATTCGTTTACAAAATCCCTGATTGAATGGAATCTGTATGACAGCGCCCTCACCTTCTCAGTTAAGCAGCAGTGCTCCTGCAAGGACCAATCTTTGCTTTTGCAAAACGCATAGAAAGTTGCAACACGTTCTAATCTGAAGTCAGTTTTAAAAAAAAGGAAGTAATTTGCCAAGATCAAAAAAGCCACTGCACGGTCTGCCCTACCAACTGCTCAGTGGAGCATTCCAAAGGGGAGGGATCACTCTCTAATATCTCTCATAGCAGCAGTTTACATCAAGAGATCCTGTCCCTTGGATTTAAACAGGCAAACAGGCTGTAAGAAACAAGGGCCACAACGGGAGCTTGGAAGATAGTCTCCCAGTTCGAGAGCTGTAAGGAGGGCATGATTTACAAACAGGACACTAACAAATCCGGCAAAAGGTCCGACTGGGTAGATCACGTGGAAAGAGCATCTAATCGGGCGGGAGGTGGTGGTATCATTGAATCATGTGCCACCTTCTGTCCGGATTTGCTTGGTTCCGGTTTCATTGCTCAATGGTATGTTCTGCATGTCCCTCCAACTGTTCCTTTACTGTTACCTCTACCTCTACAGGAGCCACTATAGAACAACAGAAGTCTGTATGCACCTTGGAATGCCAGGCACTATTAAGCAAAAACTGAACTAATTGACCGACTAGGTGACACTTGCTCTTCAACCCTGTACCCTCTAGTGAAAAAAAAAAAAGATGTGAGCTCGACATGTACAAAACCACGAGGGGGGTTAAGCCTCCGAACAGGGGAGTCATTCTAGTTATTTTAATAGCCGCCGGCAGTGCCAAACGGCTCACGAAAGCCAAGCCCTTGCAGACATGTGCTTGCAGACCTGCGTATGATGATGATGATAATAACCAGCGCCTCTCTCTTCATGAGGCGGTGCTCAGCACTGCTGCGATTCCCCCTGGCTGGCAAGGACTGCAGCCGCCCTGCTGAATGGGACGCTTGTTGAGTTGGGATGTCACATGGGAGAGGCAGGGGAGAATGGAGTCTTGTTCCTGCAAGCTAACCTTTTTTTAACTACTTCCTCCCTGGCTCGGCGTCTCCATTACCCACCGGCCTTTGGAACCGAACAATGTTTTTATTCAGCCAAGGAGAGCCCAACACTCCACGAGGCCTGCTTCGTTGTAAACTGATGCAAAATAGGGGCGACGTTTCACATAAAGACGCGCAAACAGCTGGGTTCAAAAGAGAGACGAGAAAACAGAGCCTAGACACCGACTTACCCAAAAATGGAAAAAAAAATGGAGCATGCCCCTGAACGCTTGGAGGGTTAAAATAGAAACGCCAGCACACTCTGCTCTTTTGTGCTTCATCGGTGGCTTTGTTAAGGCAAAGAATATTCATCTGTGTCTACCCTATCACTCCAAGGTTTCCACCATCAGACCTGTGTGCCAGCACTTTTTGGGCAACACTTCAGTTAGAATTGGAAATTACACCCATCAATAATTAATTAACTTGGAATACATAATTTGAGTGTAAAAATCAGAGCTGATAAATTTGTAGCAAGCATTTTAAGTATGAAGAGAAGAGTAGGTTTTCAGATGGGTATCCACAGAGAGAACCTCACCGTACCAAAATGAGTGGCTCTGGCCACAAAAATCGAGCATAATAAAGATAAGGCACAGGAATATTTAGTAGCTTGGCCTGACAATTTTGGATGACGAAGTACAGAAAAAAAGATACCCGATTATGACAATAAGCTCAATTATTCTATTTTAAACATCGCTATTAGCCCATTCCTACGTCCTATATTTATTTATCTGATGAAGGGTATCGCATTATTAAACAGGAGCCAAGACTGGAATAAACCTCATTCCGTACAGAAAGATCTGTCGGTTATTAACAGACATTTCCATCAGACAAGAGAAAGATGAACGATTCAGGCTCAGTCATATAGTCAGGGCTATGTCTGCAACCCATTTTGAAAAGGAGAGCTCAAGCAAAAACATGCAAATATTAACATTCTGTAAAATCAAAAACATTCACAAGCAGACGGTGCTTTAAGAAATTGCGCATACCATCCAAGTAGTCATAATTTCAAAATAATAAATAATTGACACTAACAAAGGAGCATGCATCCATCCAGAATGAGTTAAACACAAATATAACGGACACCTTTATGGAAAAAAGGAAAACAATTCTGTATAGAATGTTTTTGTTGGTAATAAAGCTGAACCAATTTCGATGATAAAATTGTGGAATAAATGTTTTTAAATGATAGAGATGCTCGATTATCTATCTTGGATGCAATTGCACACATAAAATAAGAACTTAATTTAAAACAGTCTTCATTTCGTATGAATTGAACCTGTAAGGACAGTAATGAGACCAACCCCAATCCACAGCAGAGCAATAACTCACATACAAGTATTTAACTACTTCAAACCAAACATCCTTTTGTTGAAAACTTGATTTTGGATTTAAAAGATCAGAGCTCTCTAGGGAAACCGGGACAACATTAATATTAAAGAGTGACCATTTATTTGAGAGAAAAACTAAAAATCATTAAATGGGTTTTCAAAGCATGAAGGATGTACAATATTTTTTTTGTTCTAAGAAAAGTGGGAGTGTGATTATTGAATGAAGTCATAGAATATATCTAAAAATACTGTTTAGCTCATTTCGTGGATAGAAAAGGCATCAGCTTGCAAACTACAGGGTCCCCCACTAGGTGGCAGCACTGAGCTCTGCCTCGACAAAGGAGACTTTGCACTGGGAAAAGGTGCTGCTGTCGTACAGAATGGAATGTCTCAGTCACTCTATGCAGTCTGATTAGGGACCTCCTGCTTTCAAGAGGCCCAAGTGCAGTCCTTGGGATTTGAAAACCTAAACCAAGTTTCTGGAGTCACCCATGTACTGACACAGTAAAACTTGAAGACAAGGAATGTACCAGGGTTATGAACTTTCAGGAATGGCAATCTGGGTGGAATGGTTTTCAAAGAAATATAATGCAGGCCAGGAATGTAATTTCTACAATGCCACATCTGTCTCCCAGAACAGAAATAAAAGCTGAAGAAGCTAAAGGCTCATTTTTATAATAGTATTATTCTTTCTAACAATTTACAGATCAATATGACAGTCTTAGTTTAGTACTTCAGACTTCTCAGTCCAGTACTTTTCCCTTCTTTTTCATATCGTTTAAAGCTGGCAATTTCCAGTGTCAGAAAACATTCAGATCGGTGTATAAAATCGGAGGGGGGAAAAAGGGACAAAATAAATCATGAAAACAGAAATAATGAAGAGGAAAAAGGGAAAGTGAAAGGCTACTTTCTGGTAGTCTCCTCCTTCTTAATTGTTTAAACAGGTGATAATCCCACCTGATCCCAGAGAGCCCCAATCAATCGGGCTGTTCGGCTAATGACCCGCACCATGTGACAATGTGGAAACTGAGAATTTAGACACACGAGATGAACAGATGATCGAAATCAAGCTGAGAGTCTAGGGTGGAATAAGGACCAGAAGACATAGCAGGACTTTAAAAGAACACTATCTTAGAAAGAAGGCCATGAAGTGCTGAAATTCACAGTCACGAGAGTGCCTAGGTCTTCCTTACTGGTTGACAGCCAAATGCACTGAAACACATCACTGAACCCAAGGCAATGTGTTAGTACTGTGGTAATATGAACCAAGGACATTTAGGTAGGTGGTAGAAACAAAATTGCTTGATTGCCTGATAGGTTTAAACTGTA